TGCCTCTGCCTCCCAAGTAGCTGGGACCACAGGCACCTGCCACAATGCCCGGCTATTTTTTGGTTGCAGCCGTCATTGTTGTTTGGCAGCCCGGGCTGGATTTGAACCCACCACCTTGGGTGTACGTGGCTGGCGCCTTAGCCACTTGAGCCACAGGCGCCGAGCCTAGTCTCAAACTCTTGACCTCAAGCAATCCTCCTGCCTCTGCCTCCCAAAGGGTAGAGATTACAAAAAATAAATATGTAAAACTACACCCATTTGTTAACCTACATTTCTGTTGTCCAACATAGGTCTCACTGGATTAAAATCAAGGTGTTGGCAGGACTGCATTCCTCGCTGGAGGCTCCAGAGGAGAATCCATTTCTTTGCCTTTCAAGCTTCTAGAGGTCCCCTTTAAGATCAGCAATGTAGCATTTCTCTGTGCCTTGCTTCCATAGCCAAATCTCTCTCTGACTCATCTGCCTTCCCCTTCCCCTGTGATTACACGGGGCCTGCCTGGGTAACCCAGGATTACCCTCCTACTGTAAAGCCATCTGATTAGTAGCCTTTATTCCATCTGCAACCTTATTTTCCTTTATTATGTAACTTAACATATGCACAGGTTCCAGAGATTAGGGTGTGGACAACTTTGGGGGGGGGGCCCATTAGTCTGCCTACCACAATTCCCAATAAATATGTGTAGAATGAATAATGAAGAAAAACAAATAAATGGACAAATGTGCTTCCGTCATACAGACCTCCCTCGTGTGGACTGTCATTCTGGACACTTCTCAGGATTACGAATCCTGAATTCTCTGCCCCTAGCTGCCATTTGTCAAGAGACAAGGAAACAAAACACTAAGGCCAAAATGTGGAGTTGTCCTCTGAAAAATCTGAATAGTGCATTGATGCAATTCACTGTCGCAAAAGCATATGGAAAAGCGCTTTGACAACTGCCATTTCCATGACAGGTGAATTATCCCCATTTTACTCCTAAAGAGATTAAGATTCAGGAACTTTACAGCTCAGACAGATGGGGAAGCCACAGTTATGGGTCTAGTGAGTGACTCTGAGACTTGGGCACCTCGTCCTTAAAGGTGGGTTGCTCGCGTGTCCAGTCCCAGAGAAGGCACAGCCCCGCAGCCCTGGCGCCACCTGACTCATCACTGGCTGGTCAGTGGCAAGCCGCGCGCTGACCCTTTCCTCTGCTAAAGAGCTCCGCGACCGCCAGGGGACGCGCCTCGCACGTGGCTCTCCGGCTCTTCACGCCGCACCCGGCATCCAGCCTGTCCGCGGACTCGGGGAAGCAGCCCCCGGGCGAGTGCCCACAACTCCCTTTGAGAGGCCAGCATGGCTTAGATACTTAAACCTCCCAAGGATCCCACGATCAGGGAGAATGCTGTGCCTGTCTCACGAACCTAGATCCAAAAATCCTACACAAAAATACTAGCAGGTGGATTGGAGTGACAGGTTAAAAAAGAAAACTTTATTAGAACCGAGGTAGGTTTATCCCAGATATTCCAGATGGATTTAACGTTAGAAAAGCAATCAAAATATGTAAGTAAAACAGTGAGATGCATCAGTGCTAATGAAATGTATATTTCATCGAGATAGATGAGCATCTTAGATGCAGTGGATAAAAGATTTGATCGCAAAAGCATACGGAAAAAGGCTTTGACAACTTCCATTTATGGAACATCCATTTATGATTTTAAAGAAAATTTTAGTAAGGCTGGGAGCCGTGGCTAACACCTGTAATCCTAACACTCTGGGAGGCCACAGGGGCCGGGGGCATTGCTTGAGCCCAGGAGTTGGAGATCAACCTGAGCAAGAGCCAGACTCTGTCTCTAAAAAATAGCTGGGGGGTGTGGCAGATGCCTGTAGTCCCAGCTACTTGGGAGGCTGAGGCAAGAGGATCTCTTGAGCCACAGCACTCTACCCAGGGCAACAAAGTGAGACTGTCTCAAAAAAGAAAGAAAGAAAAAGAAAATTTTAGTAAAAGGTGACAATATTTGGAAGCATTTCCTTTAAGGTTAGGAACAAGACTAGGTGTACCTATTATCACCACTCTTCAACATCGTTCATGACTTGCTAGTACAGTGAGACAGAAAAAGATACAAAAACATAATGATTTGAAATAAATAAAATTTTCAAAACCTCAGAAGTTTACAACTATCAAATCTGTCTTCCCTTTGTGTAACAACATGATGCCAAACTCCTCATCCTGAAATGAAATTCTTAGGT